TTGCAGCCTTTTTTAAGTATATTGAACACTTTAACATTACTTTATAGAAACGCAACAAAATCAAGTTGAGTTAACTAATAGTACTAGTATTACTCAGTTGGATAAACCTACTTTTCTTGGTACAGGTAACTTATTTATGGGTTGCTACAAGTAACCTGTACTCATTTTAATTAGGTTTTATGAACTTTATTTTCTTAGTAAAATTAACTTAATCATATGTGAATAAACATTTTAATATATTTTTTTTAATTGTCAATAACAATTACAAATTCAATTGAAGAAGAAAAAGATGAGAAGATAGATTGAAGACAATATATAATTTATTCAATGTCAACCAGTGTCACTTTTAACAGTGACTACAAAACAGCAAATAAATGTGGCCGCACATGTACACTCTAATATAAAACAAACACTGTAGAAGTGTATTTTCAACCTGTTCTGAACGGTACAGTGAAATATCCAAACTGCCCAATCTGAAATGTTTGGATCAAGGTAAATGTGAGCCATAACATCACATTGTATCACACTGGAACTGCAATGTCAAAAATTACATGATGATGGTTTAGGACGCACAGGGTCCAATCCTACAAAAAGCCTCTGATATATATCAAGTATACACCAGTTTTGAGGGATACATGAGGTCGAGAGCATAGGTAAGTTCAAACAGGAGGCAGCATGCTTTCAACAGGTTTGGCACACCTCTGACCACGGGCTGTCCTTATATGATAATCCCAATCGTTTCGGGGTGATGAAACATGTAAATTTTCAGTGGGCAACTGCCAAGCTCAGCGTGCACCTCTTTTTCAGCCCGACTCTATTGGTGGAGACAAAAAAGAAACAAGAGTTTGGTCAGACAAATAGGAAATGAGATGAATATTAGCAGACAGGTAGAAGAGATAAGACACAAAGTCCAAATTGTACTTTTGTTGCTAAAGGTGGTGGATACAAGATGGATACTGTGACTAGAACATGTGACCAGAGTGAAGTCTACCATGACAATGCCATAGAGTGTGGGTACTAAAATATCATGATCTACTCTAGCATGAGTGTTGTATTTTTCTGGTTCAAAGGATGCATTACAATAAAACAAATGCAATTGTCCTTGCCTGTACCTGATTGGTCATCACATTACTGTTAATTAAGCTACAGAGTTTAAATATCTTTCCAGAGCAAATGTAATCACCCCATATCATCACAATATTAATAAACCCACTAAGCAAAATTATGTCCAAAAGACATCTTTTCAACGTCTTTGTCACAAAGACGTACATTGAAAAGACGTCCACTGAGGAGCCAGAATGAACGTTTTTACGACTTTTTTTGAGGTGTTCTGTAATGAACGTTCACGGAAGCTCCATTCAAGGTTGAAAACTAGTTCAGATGTGGACAATGTGGACAATTTTCAACATCATTTAAGGTCTCATCTGGACAATTTATACTTATTCTAGACCAAATAAACACTCTCAGGATATATTAAATTAAAACTCACATTTATTTCAATGTAATTTTCATGTGTAATTGCAAAGCAATTCACAGACAGTGAAGTTTCTTTTCATGATTTTTGGACAAACACGCACTGACACCTTTAGACAGTTTAGCATCTGTCATTTAAACATCTTTGGATCATGAGAGAAATCAGATTCGAACCAGGGACCTTAAGCTGCCTGCCCTAAGTAGACAGTAATGATTTCATGATTTTTGGACAAACACACACTGCTTTGCAATTAGAAATTACGTTGCAATAAACATGAGTTTTAATTTAATGCATCCTGAAAGTGTTTGGTCCAGAAAAAGTTTAACCTCTTAACCGTCTCCAGAGCGTCGGCGCACTGAAGCGTTTTTTTTTTTATTTAGTTCAAATATACTATCAGATTTAATGTTATACCTTGACAAACTATACATCATTAAAAAGATATAAGCCTCAAGATTCAGTATTTGACCACTATTGTATTCTGAGAAACTTATAGTGACAGTTATGTCTTAATTTGTGTCAGGAGTTATGAAATGAAAACAATGAGTCGATACCTTTAATATGAATTATGAGCGTCAGCTGGTCCATTCATAAAAAACACTCCGTGCTGTCGTCATGACAGCGATTCACAAAACAACGTCCCTGAGGGCTTTTAGCTCAACAATGTGCAGATGTGGAGAAATATTGATATATTCTCATAGATTCACATCATATTTCTATAGACAGGAATAATATTTATTGAATTTATACCCAAATGCGTCGATGTAAGTTATGATCGCTTCTTACTGAGATGTGCTGTGTTTTCCATTCATACCAATGGCATGGGGGCGCTATATGTGTCCAATAAAAGTCCATATATGGATCATGAAGAAGAAGACCCATAGTCATGTGACATTCCAGGACGTCACTGAGTGATACAGAAAGTAGCTGACAGAGATCGCTGTAACATGCAGATAAAGATGTTTTGAAAACAATAAACATGATTGCAATGATATTTGAGTTACCTGTGTTCTTCAAGCCATGCCAGGTATTTCATAATAATAGATTATATTTATAATGTAATGCTAATCGATATAGATTTCATCATCGTTCAGAACACTAAATAATACATTTTCTGTCGGATTTTTTTTTAATATGAAGCCAAGTTAGATCACAGAAGATTATTTAAAACACTAGACTTGCGTTATATAGTAAGTTTGGAGCACAAACATAATTTTAATCTCATAAATGGTCGTGTATTGATGGTGTGCTAAGCTAACATGCTAGCGAGCCCAGGCGCACCTGCCACGAGCAGTTATTGTTTTATGATTTTTTTCTAAATAGGAATGCTTACTGAAATGTTTCAGTGCATTTGATACCAGTTTCAAATATTTAGTGAGAATTTTGATAAAAGAAATTAGGGTTTGAAACCCTATGAATAGCCTGTGAATAGCCAGTCGTTAGTAGCTATAATGCAGACAAAAGAAATGCATATTTAGATCCATAATAACCAGTCTGGAGAGGTGTGAATGTGTACAGGGGAGACTGACACTGAATGGGGCACCACAAAACAATAGAGACAATAGACTGAATAGATGACTCAGAGGATGACTAAACATCAGTTTGCTAATAGAGTCTAATCAAAATAAAGTAATTTGACATGATCTTGAAAAACATTTAACTAAATACAGAGTTTTATACTTATCATTTTCAGATTTTAAATATAAAATGGTCAGACATGTGGCTTTAGCTGCAGTGCATTTCTAGATTGCTCCAGGGCCAACTTCCATTTTATTTTCATAAAGATGTTTCATAAAAATAAATTTCTAATAACTTTACAAAACTTTGAAGCTATTTAAAATTGTTTTTTTTCATTATGACAATAATTCATTCTACATTTACAATAAACAACCAGGTGTCAGCTTTCAAATGAGATCATACTTGTGCTTTTAGTGCAAAGGGTTCATGAACTGTATCTGTTTCAGTTTGGGTATGTGATTTCTGGGGATTTTTCAAAAGTGGGCTTGAAGCTTAACAGGTTAAATTGTCTAAATTAGACATTAAATTACATAAAATATGTCCACATCTGAACTAGTTTTTAACCTTGTATGGAGATTCCCTGAACGTCTATTGGACTTACAGAACACGTATAATCTGATCAAATTGTAATTGAATCTATTCTGAAGTTTGTCTTACCTGGATGTGAAGCTCGAAGACCCCAGGTAACAAAAGTGCTTGGGTATCTAAAGACCAGGAAAATGTTAGATGTTAGAAATAAGGTTAAAAAAAATCAGTTGTAAATGTAACTTCTTTAAGTAATAGGTTAGAAATAGTATAAAAATCTAGACCAAAAATCTGTCATTAATTGACAATGCAGCATTAAAATATCGTGGATCAAATCTCTAAAATCAGACAGACTACTAAACATACATACAGTCTAATCTGTGCATCTGCTTTAGTAATGCAAAAGTATAATAACATAATCTCTGAGTTCTGTCAAAGACACAGAACACACAAAACAAAGTGTTGTCCATAAAACACCACATCTTACTTTCCCTTATTTGCCCGCACAACTATTGCCTGAAGGCTCGAAATTGCGACCGTTTCGATCGCATATGATCCCGAAATTTAATCTGTGCAATCTAAAAATATAACTGAGGGCATTTGTGCAACTAATTATTACATACGTAACTTGTATGTGTTTTTAAACACTGCTGCTGTTGTCTGCCGATCGACCACACTGTGCAGCCATCTTAGCTTACCATGTGTGCAGGATAGCTAGCTATACAATTTGCAAACCTAACCTCAGCTCCCTAGTGGAGTAAGCGATTTTGTGACTTTAGTTTACATCACCAGTCATTCGGCTAAATTTGCTCAACTTACCGTGTTAATCAGACCCTGAAATTCAGATCCGCTGCAGCGACCAAACAGTTGAAGTGCCGAGGAAGATATTGCATCTGTCTGGAGTCCCCGCCAGTGAAAAAGGGATAATGCCAACTTATAAAATTTAAAATATTTACGTTTGATGAACACACCTGTCACATCGACAGCTGCTCAAATAAATTGTGCATTGTCAACTCACTTTTATAACATTTATTGTACACAACAACCACATACAAATAACTACCCAAATAAATTGCATGGGTTTTATTTAAAATATATTGTTATATAAAAACTGATATATTTTAAGTAAAGAGGAAGTATTTTGATACTCTTTTTGTATAAAACCAATAAAATAAACTAGATTACAAATATTTAAAATATATAAAACCTACTTTGTGGGTGTAGCACTTTTTACAGTGTGTGTATTAGGACCTGCAGCTGTTGCCTATGCACCTTTGCGTGTCCTACCATGCCAGTGACGTCATCGAATCTGCCAGCGACAAGCGCAATTTTTGTGTTGCTTAAAAAAAGCTATATTGATATTTTTAATTAAAAATTTTAGTGTAATTTACTTTTAATTGTCATAAACAACACGTTATCAACGTCGATTTTTTTCAGTTCAGTTCATCTTTAACTATTGATTCATAGCATGATGCAGTTATTATTAAGTGTTGCCAAAGTTTCTGTTGTTTCAGTGTGTCTGCAGGAAACATTTGAGGCTGTTATTGGCGGTTCTGTTCTCCTGCCGTGTTCTTCCACTAAACATGATCATAAACTTGAAGACACTGATGTGCATTGGAGACACAATGGCAGCCAGCTTGTGTATGATATAGTCAAGGGTAAAGATTCACTACAGTTACAGGACCCTCTGTACAAGAACAGAACTGAAAGTTTCCCACAGGAGTATGAGAGAGGAAACTTCTCCATCAAACTCACAGATCTCACTCACACTGATGCAGGAGAACACAGCTGCCTCATCACACCCTCATCTGAACAGAAGACTGTACTGCTGATCATCAAAGGTGTGTGAAAATAGTGGATTAGGGAATGAAGTTTTTAATTTTAAATTAGTTTGCTTTAAAATTTAAATATTGCAAGATGTTGATCCCATATGTGAAGTTCACTAGTGATGTTTCAGTCTGAATGCTGCTGTATATAAATTATAGACGGATCTATTATCTTTATCACTGTGAGGTAAAGTTTCCAGTTATACGGTTTTGTTGCAGAATCAACAGCAGAAAAAGGAACCGCATCGACTGAACAAGAAAACCAAGGAGAAACAGAACCAGACAGTGTGGAAACATCATCGCCTTGGCTCTGGGTTGGCATTGCATCTGTAATTATAGTTACAGGTATAGTTATAGGTTTTATTGTAGCTTGGCGGATAAACGACATGGGCTAGACGCTCATGAGGTTGCACACATGAATCAGTAATAGCTGATGATAATAATAATAAAGCATTTAACAGCAGAAACTGCTTGAGCTTTAGCGCTAAACACAGGGGTCCGGGGTACGAATTCATTAGAATTTGTTAACTCGTAAAATATGTACGAATTAGCAAAAATCGTACGAATTCGTACGAGGGAGGTCGTATGAATTCGTACAAATTAGCCACCTCGTAAAATTTGTACGAATTACTGTGAGATCGGGTTGAATTTTGACTTTATGATTGATGATTGAATTATGAAAAAATTATATTATCACATTAAAAAGTAAAAATTGACAAAGACCTAATTATGATAAAGAAGTCAAAAGTGATGCACCTCAAACCATCAGATTCATGTGCACTGAAAAGCAGAGCGACTCGCAACTCTTGTATTTACCAGAACTTAATGTTCCTACAAAATAAGTTTTATTCTGCAACTGCTAAAGTATTCGTACGTAATTAAAGTATTACGTATTCTTGCCTTAATGACTATATTTATGTTTTGTACCCTTTACGATTGTCACTTTTAAGTAAAATGCCTGTACTTGTCAGTGTATAAAGTGTGCTATAAATAACTTTGCCTTGTCTTTCCACTTTATAAGTTATATTTAGTTTTTACAGTTTTCTGAAGCAAAAGACACTGTTTTGTACTGTTTTATTCTTGCCTTATGCACTGCATTCTTATTAACAGAATAAGATCTTGAAAAGGTACATTTTTGGTTGAAAGACAAGTGAGTCTGTCAATAAGTTGCTGCCTTAAAAATGATGTACTGTAAACATTCATCTTGAAAATATTGTTTTATTTGCAGGAACTGTGAAGTGTTTAACATATTCTCATGTATAAACAGAGGAAACAAGAAGTGTATTTCATTGTATTTGCATGATCTTATTATGATCAAGACCCAATAAAATGTTTTGATGAAATAATGCATCTGTCAGTTGTTTGGATATTTCTAATCATACTTTTTACAAAAAACAAATGTTTTGCATTTACATGTAATCATTTGGCGGATGCTTTTATGCTAAGTGTGAAAGCAGAAATGTGGTTTGTGGATCCGACGTGCCGTCCGCGACCCACGGTGTGTTTCAGAGGTTTAACTATTTGAAAGACAAAACTCCACAAAAACAAAAGTAAACATAATACATATCTTTGGAAAGCTGAGATACTCGTGATTCGAACGATATAAACCATTTTAAGATACAGTCAACACAGCGGGTACAATCTGTCTCTTTGTCAGACCACCAACAGCCACATAAACAAACCCAAACTGGAAGAAACTCACCCATGAAGCCTCCTGTTAGTCCACTGATCCATTACATTCCAACTAAAACGGTTTGGGTACACTGTAAAGGGTCCATACAATCCAATTCAATGAAGTATTTAGTCCATATAACACATTTCAATAAACACCCACGGAATGTTGAAGTAGCATTTCGCGTTAGCCGATAGCGCTATCACAACTTCGACGGTAGGGGAAGACTCATGAATATTCATTAGGGAAGTCATCCCTGATTGGTCTTAACCCCAGTGACGGGTAGGTTTATGGGCGGGGTTAGGGGTAGAACCCCAGTGACGGGTAGGTTTAGGGGCGGGGTTAGGGGTAGAACCCCAGTGACGGGTAGGTTTAGGGGCGGGGTTAGGGGTAGGTCATCAGACCCCCAGTGACGGTTAGGGGAATGAATATTCATGAGTCTTCCCCTACCATCCTGCAAAAAAAAAAATTCACGGCTCGGTCTAGCTTCATTTGAAAAGTAAACATTGAAGAAAATGTGATGTCAAAATGGCCACTGACCCCTGAACTTTTGATAGACAGGTCATTTGAGCCAATCCGTCCATGAGAAAGGTGTCACCTGGTATCGCCAAGGAGCGCCAATGATGAAGAATTGTACCTCCCTCTCTTTGAGTGACAGTAAATCGATCCAGTTGCAATAGAGAATGGAAATGACGGTATTTTCTGATAGCCAATGAATTTCTGTAAAGATTGGTATGCAGCTTTTGTGGGACGAATCCTCAGGTCATGCGGAAAGTTCGTGCGCAAAGTACCAGAGTGAATCCATAACTTCTCACAAAAAATCTGTTGTTCCTGTTGCACCTTAAAAAGTGTCCGTGTGCAACGCAAAATGTACTTTAGTTCCTAGTTAACATCAACACTCAATATTCATGAACAGATTAAACAAATATAACAAAAACATGTTCAATAACAGAAATAATATGTATGGCAGTTATACTCCCACCAAATGACTATTTTGTCATTTCACCTCACAATTCAAACCTTTTCACACCTTAATTTTAATCATACAGTATACCTTAAACCTTACAGTAACATAAAATACTGTTTCCGTGAAATGGTAACCTTAACCTTTATTCTGCCTCAAGCAGTACAACTGTCTTTTGTACAGGCCTATCAAGGTAAACTGGCTTGGAAATGCGTCTTCCCTGGCTGTCTAAGGTCGAGTCACTAATTAACAGTTTCACCTTTCGAACCTTTCCATCAGTGCTCGGATACACCTGTGTCACCCTTGCCAATCTCCATTGGTTACGTGGAGAACTGTCCTCCTGCAGGATGACAATGTCGTTAACCTTCGTATTTCTCTTCTCTTTCTGCCATATTTGTCTTTGCTGAAGATTAAGGAGATACTCCTTCTTCCACTTTGTCCAAAATTCGTTTGCCAAAAACTGCACCTGGCGCCATCTCTTGCGCAAGTATAGATCCTGACTCACAAACTCACCTGGAGGTGGGAATATTATGTTAGACTTCATCATAAGCATGTGATTGGGTGTGAGAGGTTCAAGGCTTGTTGGATCATTTAAATGCTCGGTTGTCAGAGGTCTGCTATTTATAATAGCCATCACTTCATATAGAAAGGTTCTGAGCGAGGCACTGTCGAGTCGTTTAGCAGACTGGTCAAGGATTGCAGTTAAGACACTTCTGATCGTCCTTATCTGTCTCTCCCATACACCTCCTATGTGGCGATGATGGGAAGTTCATTATGAACTCACATCCATGTTCCTTTAACTGTTCATGATCCAAGTTCTTCATTGCCTTCATGAACTCTCCTCTTGCACCTACGAAGTTTGTGCCTTGATCACATCTCAACTGTCTTACATGTCCGCGTATTGCGATGAATACACGCAATGCATTGATAAAGGCATCTGTAGTGAGGTCATCAAGCATTTCGATATGTATGGCTCTAGAGCACATACAAGTGAAAATAAGACCATATTTCTTTAGTTCCTTTCTTGCTTCCTTCACATAGAACGGTCCAAAGCAATCTATGCCACAATATGTGAAAGGAGGTGTCATTTCCATTCTTTCTTCTGGCAAATCTGCCATTTTTGGATCTTGTGTGTTCCTTCTGAACTTTCTGCATGTTGTGCACTTGTAAATATGTGAGGCAACTGCACTGCTGCATCCTATGACCCATACTCCATTGGATCGCAATGCATTGGCAGTTATTCCTCTTCCTTGATGATGCACCTTTTCATGGTAGTGCTTAATAAGCAACGATGATACATGACTCTTATTTGGCACAATGGCAGGATGCTTGACATGCGGATGAAGAACAGATCTTGTCAAACGTCCTCCAACCCTAAGCACACCATGCTCATCTACAAACGGACTCAGTTTGTGTAGTTTGTTTACTTTGTCTTTGGGTTTTACTTCCTTGCCTTGCTTTATACCTTTGATTTCACAGCTGAATTCTTCCCTCTGAACCAACTTGATTATAAACAGCTCTGCTTCCCTTCTTTCCTCAATACTTGTAGCTCCACTTACTTTATCTTTGATGCCCTTGATCTGCTTAGCATGGCGCTTTAGAAGAGCAATAGCCTTGACAGCTCTTTTCCAGGCAGAGAACTTTGTTAGACGTTCTAACAATGACCTCTCCTCCCTCACCTTGGTGTTGAGCACCAGGGCCTTCCGAAGTTCCGGATTATCATCATAGACTTCTCCCACCATAACATCTGCTCTGGGTAGCTCTCTTTGCCATAAGAAATCTGGGCCAGTGAACCAATTTGAAGCAACAAGCTGATCTGCGGAGAGACCTCTCGACGCATGATCCGCAGGATTATCTTCAGACCTTGCAAAGTGCCATTGTTTAGGATCTGTAGTGGACTTGATTCGTTGGACTCTGTTCGCTACGAACACATGAAACCGTCTGGCATCATTGTTTATATAGTCAAGTCAAGTCACATTTATTTATATAGCGCTTTTCACAATACAGATTGCATCAAAGCAGCTTCACAGTGATAACATGAAAGTAGTACAACACAGTTCAATAATATTGTTGAATATTAAATATCCCCAACTAAGCAAGCCAAAAGCAAGGCGACAGTGGCAAGGAACCAAAACTCCATCAGATTGGATGGAGAAAAAAACCTTGGGAGAACCCAGGCTAGTCAGGGGCCAGTTCTCCTCTGGCTAACAATCATAGGGTTTTAAAGAAGCTTTACAGTAAGTGCATATCAGAGAGTACCTGGAAAATACATTTAGTTAATCATGTTAATCATATAGCCTAGGACGACCTTCGAGTCAGTCCAAAAATGTTCTTGAAGACCCTCTATTTCAAGCTCATTTCTAAGCATAACACTTATTCTTGCTGCCACAACTGCAGCCGACAACTCAAGCCGTGGCACTGTGGTTACCTTGGTAGGAGCAACCCGTGCTTTTCCCATGACAAGCGTGCAGTGAACATCTCCCTTGACGTCGACTGCTCTGAGGTAAGTACATTCACCATAACCGATGACACTTGCATCTGAGAAGTGGTGAAGTTCGTACTGCTTGACATCCTTAAAGTTATCTGGGATATAGCACCTTCTAATCCTTACATTAGATAAGTTTCGAAGATCTTGTAGCCAGATTTCCCACTGTGATCTTAGCTCTTGTGGGAGTGGCTCATCCCAAGTTACTTTGTCTCGACACAGTTGTTGTAGGATCTGCTTTCCACGGAGAATAAAAGGCG